AAGCTTGGAGTAGATTTTTACTTGAAAGAGAAATAAAAGTTCATAAATCTTTGTTACATGTAACTGAGCTAAATCCTAACTAATCAAAAAGAATCCAGACTCAAGACAAAAAGCTGTTAGAAAAAAAAAGGTATTAGGAGACTGCTGCTGTAAGCTGATGAAAGGCTGATTAAGGTGATGATAATGAAAATGGAAAGGAAAGGGTTCTAGTGATACTTAAGCAGAACTACAGGACTTCAAAATCGAGTGGAAACTAGAATGATAGTGATTTGCTGCAGATGGGGCCTTTCAGGTATTGACTGATGTGTGAATATTAAAGGTAGAAGATATCGCTCAGTGAGATTTTGGATGAAAATTATTTCTAAATCATTAGTAAAAGGTCAAAGGTTTAATTCGCAGGTTCACTTCTGTCTCTTCTGATAAAAGGCTTTTCTCTTTGTTAATAGTCAGTTGAGCTGGGAGGAGACTGAAAGATATTCATTCAACAAATATTTGTCGAGTGCATATTATGTGCCAGGTGATGTGATAAGGATACGGTGGTGACCAATACAGACATGGACTCTGCTCTCATGAGGTATATAATTACAAACTGTTAAAAGTGCTATGTTCTAAAAGCATGAGGAGTTATGGGAGCTGAAGTCTGGGAAGAGTTCTTTGAGGAAATAGTATTTGAACTAAGATCTCAAGAATGAGTAAAAGTTAAGCAGGTAAAGGGGGAAAGCACTGCCAAGCCAGGAAACAGCAGGTACAAAGGCCCTGAGATGGAAAAGTACATGACAGGTTAGAGGAAATTGAAAGGCCAGTGTGGCAAGAGCACAGAGAGGGAGAAAGTGAAGTGTGACTCAAGTCAATTCAACAAATAATATTGACAGTCCAGATTTGAAAGTCACTGGTGAGACAAAGCTGGAGGTAGGCAGGGGCTGGATTATGCAGGGCCTTGTATGTCATGTTTAGAATCTGTTTTTATCCTAAGAAGAATGGGAAACTATTACAAAGTTTTAAGCATCAGTTTGTTTTCTGGCTGAAGGACACAAAAGTGGGTATGGGAGAAGCAATCGCAATAATCGTGGTGGGAGATTATGGTGAAGATGGAGAGAGACAGAATCAAGGAATATTTACAAATGTAAACTGATAGGATTTGGTAGTTAAGGGAGGGGATGAGAAAGAGGGATGTGCCTATGTTACTAGCTTCTGCAACTGGATAAGTACCAAGCACAGGAGGAAAGTTTATGAGGAAACATGTTGAGTTTGGGATTTTTTTTTTTTTTTTTTAAGATGTCCGGTAAGGGGATCTTAACCCTTGACTTGGTGCTATCAGCACCACGCTCACCCAGTGAGCTAACCGGCCATCCGTATATAGGATCCGAACCCGTGGCCTTGGTGTTATCAGCACCGCACTCTCCCGAGTGAGCCACGGGCCGGCCCTGAGTTTGGGATGTTTTTGAGACACCTAAGTGGACACGTCAAGTAACGTGGAGGAACTGGAAGTGATCAGTAACTAAATCTCAGAGTGGGGATGAAACTGTCCTAGAAAAATTAGACTGAGAAAGAATAAGACCTAGAGAAACTTTTAGATTTAAAGGCTGGGAGGAGGATGAACCTGCAATGGAGGCTAAGAATCTGTGGTCAAAGAGGCAGTAAAATTGTAACAGTGGAATCACAGACCAATGGAAGAGTGTGAGTGATGAGAAACTAGAAAACGGTACCAAATGCTACTGAAAAGTGAAGTAAGCTCAGGACTAGGAAATAACCACTGGATTGAGGGATATGAAAGTCACCCCCAAGATGACCTTAGTAAGAACAGTTTCAATAGAATAAGGGTTGTAGAAATCAAAACAGACTGGATTGAGGAACGGGAATGGAGAAGTGACTTGTAAGATGAAGAGGGCCAAAGTATCCAACTGTTTTGAGAAGTATAACTGTAAAATAGAAAAGATAGGATGGTAACTGGAGGGGAAATGAGGTACAGAGTGGCTTGTTATAACAAGGGAGTCACAGGCATATTTAAACACTGATGAGAAGAATTTAGAAAAGTGGGAGGAAATCAGAAATCCTCAAAGAGGGAAGGACTAGGATTCAGAAACAGGAACTGGACTTAGGTGAGAGGGATGCTTGCTCTGTTTAGACAGGAGGAAGAGGACAGAATGATCAGATGTACATGGGTAAATAATTTAAGTCATGGGATGTTGAAGGAGTTACCAGCTGATAGCTTCTATTTTTTGTCTATGAAGTAAGAAATAGGATTACCTGCAGAAAGTGAAGAGAACGGTGGTGGTGGTGGTGGGGAATAAGAGGCTTAAGAATATTGGTTTGAAATGGTCACTACAGGGGGCAGTAAAGATGACTAGAAAAATCTAGTGAAGTTACAGGGGTAGAGATTCCATTGGAAGTTGGTAACCATGGATTCATAGCAGTATAAATATGCTATATCTTTATACAGCACTTGGGTGGCATTTAGCTGTTCAAATGCAGGCAAAGACAAATATTTTATTTTATTTAAGGGTCCAAAAAAGAGATAAAAGGAAAGGAAATTTAGCCTGTTCCAAGAAAATCACTAGAGATTAAGCTGGACAGGAATCTAAAGAAGGAAGTTGCTAATGGAGAGAAGGCAGAAGTGACCTGAATACTACAGTGAAATCAAAGAATGATAGTAGAGGGAATAGCTCAAAAAACAAAATGGAAGGAATATGGTCAATGAATAAGATGCAAGTAATAGTGTTTGAAGATGGAGCTGTTTACAGTGATGACAATAGTCAGGATATAACTAAAGGAGTAGGCAGCTACGACAGAATAGAAATCATTGGAGACTGGATCAAGAAACCAAGAGATCAAAATATCGAATGGACTGCCCATGTAAACATTAAAAGAAGATCACAGGCTAGCTATCCAGAGATAGGAAGATCAAAGGCTAGCTATTCAGAGGAAAGTAGGATAGTAGTTAATATGGTTGATAGGACAAATAATAAAAGAGGGTTGTATAGATGAATAGCCTCAAAAGAATGAGACTTTGCAACGGAGCAGGCAGTTAAATTCTGAAGCCACAATGACAGGAACACCAACTCTGTCTCCAATATGTGTTTGTGATGTCAGAAAGCTTCATCCAGGTTTATTCCTGTGTTGTGCTTGGAAAATGACATTGTTCTCATTATGTCAATGGCTATCACTTTATGGTAAGACCTGGAGAAGACCACCAATTAGGAAGATGAAGTAGTAGGAATAAGGCTTTTCTCCCAAGTACTTAACATATTTATAAACAGAAAGAACCAGGACAAAAGAGATTGAAAATTTAAGAAAGGAATTGATAGGTCAGATTGAGAGACACTTGTTTTTCCATGCCTAGAGGCAGGTTGGATACAGATATTTGCAGATAAAAGCTCTGGAAGTTCAAAGAGCACAGACTTTAAAGTAAGACAGGTCTATGTTCCTAGCCCTTTCTAGCAATTACTAATTATGTGACATGGAAAAAGAGGAAGCAAAGATAAATCACAATGGAAGTTTATTGTAAGGATACACACAAATGTTGAAGAGGAAGAATTCTCCTCCCAGTAGCACAATATCCCAGGCTCCTATTATTCTCTGGGAGTTGAGAAGTTCACAAGCTGTTTTACTTATTTCTCAAGGAAAGAATTTTATTAGGTAGACATAAAGCCACTCAGTAGGGAAATCCCTGGTCAGCAACTTTTATCTTAACAAGCTTTTCTGTTCATGATTTGTTCGAGAGATAGCAGCTATGGGATAAAACACTGATTGGAGCCACTTTTCTCAATAGGTAACTGGGTAAAAGATAGGCTTCTGGTGCATTCTGGATTCTTGCTTCCTCATCTGGTAAGGGGAGGATAATGATTCTTACTTGTAGTATTGTTGTAAAGATTAACTAAGAAAAAGCATGACATCTACAAATATCAGAAACTATATGAAGTTGATGCTCAATAGTTACTATTTTGAAAAGCAGCTTGGTGTACTAGCAAGAACACAGACTTCGGCATCAGACCTGCATTTTTTTTTTTTTTCCTTTTTGTCTTTTTTCGTGTCCGGCAACGGACCGCAACCCCCAGTGTCGTGCCCGTACCGGGACCGGCAATGGGATCGCAACCCTCGGTGCTGCGCCCGCCCCTCGCTCAGCCAGTGAGCGGGAACCGGTCTGTATGTGGGATACGAACCCTCGGCGGGAGCGCCGCCGCACTCCCAAGCGGCGCACTGTAGCAGTGTGCCACCTGGCCGGCCCCCAGACCTGCATTTTAATAGGAGGTCAGTTACTTGAGAATTTCAACTTTCTGGTCTGTAGGTGAGAGAGAACAGCTGCATTGTGGGTGGTTGTAAGGAGTTTTTATTATTGTGGGAGCAATGTCTAGGTGCTTCAATTCCTTTGTAAAAAAAACGGTCGCCTAATGAGGGATAGTTGAAGGTGGGATGTAGTATTAAGGAAAGCAGTGAAGGTATAAAATAAATGCCATGGTGATTAGGAGAGGAAATGGACCAGGAACACAAAGGGCAGACAGCATGTTGGTATTGAGGACTTGGCTGAGGTTGGAGACATAGATTATTTAGTGGCATTCGGGACACAACTGTTTTTCTCTAGCAGTTTGAATGAAGAAATAGAAAAAACATACAGAATGATATAAAAAGATGGCCAAGGGTGGCCAGAAAACAGGGTGATGAAGCAATGTGGCATTTAGACTGCTAAGTATAGAAGTAAATTCCACAAGGGGGGAGGAGCAATAATGAGAAAAGAATGGAGAGGCTGGGATTAAAAATCACAGAATAGGTACAGTGGGAACAATGTAGGGTAGAGGGTGGAAGCTGGAATTAGGAAATCATAGATGAGAAGTAAAACATTAAGGTAACATTAAAGAGGTCCCAAAGATTTTGTTTTCTGCTTTTTTTCATACCCACCACCATCTACTTCTCCTTTGGCTTTCTCTTCAAGTTTGGCTGTATTGCAGAATATAGTCCCCAAGTTTCCCCCTTCCTGATTGCCCCTGAAGACAAGCACACAGACCTTCTTTGTTTAAAGGTTTTACTGCTCATCCTGGGAAAACAGGAAATACTAAAAAAAAATAACCTGGGAAAACGGCTTAAGTTTCAGAACACTCCAGAATTCTTACAGGTTTCACCTCTGTTCTGTGGCCACTGACTTCCTAGGAAGTACTTTAAAGCCCTGTGGTTTTTTAATCTGTTGTTCTTAGATATCTCCTCCTTTCCCTAGATCCAGAACACTTCTTTCTTGTAAGACATAATCCACGAAAAATAATTATGAACCAACGGCTCACAGGTGAGCCATTCAAGTCAGACAGACTTAAGGTCAGCCAGACAGAACTCCCATTTTCTCTATCATCTGGACAGAAACTAACTTCCTGTTGCTATTACCAACCTTAAAATTGTACCCACAGACCCTGTTTTAACCAGATACCTGAGAAGGCAATTTCTCAGCTGCCAGGGCTGAAGCCAGTAGATATTCACTAAATGACAGAACAAAGGATGGTGACAATAAAATGGGTTCCCTGCCCAGAGTATAAACCAGGAGTAAAAAGCGGGTTTATTGGCTCCAGGAAAAGGAGCAACAGTACCCAGCTTTCGGGCTGCCCCTCATTCTCTCTGTACAGGCTTCACGAAGCCTAACGCCCAATGGGTCCTTCAAACTGAGGGTCCATCCAGTGCCTTCTCTCCTGGGATTGGGGATGGCTAGCTGCCTGATGGTGAGACTCCGGGCTGTTCAGCAGCAACACCTGGCACAGCCGAGGCAGCCTCATAGTCTGCGATGCGGCGGTGTACCAGGGCAGGCATGAGCTGCACATAAGCGGCCATGAGGCGGTGGTTGGAATGGATCAGCTTCCCAGCACAGCTGTGCAGACAGGCCTCCTGGAAGGAAGACAGGATTTAAGTAGATGCCAAAGGTGTCTTGTCAGGCCTGCCTCCTTTCTTCCCTATCCCCAGTCTGGGGCTGAGGGTCATGGAGAGGCCAGAGCCAGAGGGAGGGGCAGTGGGGTAGGAGGGAAACAATCTACCATTAACTCTGAGGATCGAGAGTAACCTCAGTTCCCCACCTCCTCAGAGTCCAGAGCTCGTTGGTGCAGGCTGGGCACACAGCGCTGGAAGCAGAGTTCTGTCATCCTATTATAGACCAACAGGAAGTCCCGCAACTAGAAGAAAAAGGGAGCAAGAACTTAGCGATAAGGACCGTGCACCACAGCCCAATGTTCCCAGCCCTCGGATCCCTAACTCTTTGCTGTTACCGCAATATGGACAGAGACGCGAGCTGAACGCCTGGCCCTGAAGGGACGTAGCTCTCACTCACGTTTCTCAGTTGCTGCTGTTGCTGCTGCTGCTGCGAATCCATCACACCGCGGGCGCAGCCCTACGTCGCTTCCGTTACAGCTCGACACCGCCCCGGAAGTAATCTCTCGCCGCTCCCCCAAGGACTGAGGGGTTGGCTTGAGGATCGCCCGGCCCCCGGCTGTAACGTCACCTCCGCCCTTATAATCTGCGACGTGGCCGGCTTCTTCTGCCCGAAGAGGACGTCACTTCCGCCGAGTCCCTGACCTGCTGCTAGGATAGCGACGGGAACTGGAGCCTGAGGTCCCCGCGCGGCCCGGGCCTGGCGCCCTGAGGGGAAGAGCTGCCCGGCCCGAGGTGAGAGGCACATACTTGGGCGAGGGCAAGTTGAACGCACGAACCTGTCCTGAGGGCAGGATGCCCCTGAGTCCTGGGGAAGGATGAGGACACACCTGATGCCCAGGTGTATGGGGGGAGGGGATTGGGGGCGGGAACTCACGCACCTGGGAGACATAACTGACTTTGGAAGGGATCATCTATGTCCTGGGAAAGAGAGGCTTTTACCAGAGACCGGGAACATACACCAACTGATCCAACTAAGGCCTGGTGGGGAGGGCCCGAGGAAGAGGAGGTACATGAGAAGGAGGAGGGAGACCACGTAAAGGAAGGGGGAAGAAACACTAAAGGAGTGTGAAAGACCAAGCAATGGAGAATATACCTGAAAGGGGGGGTGAACACCAGAACCCTGGAAAGGGCTTAGACTCCTGGTGGGAGTAAACACCTGTATGGGGATAAGTTCCGAGAGAGCACAGACTTTATCTCTCTTGTTCACTGTTGGATTTCCCTTGCCCCAAATAGTGCCTGACACATAGTAGGCACTCACTAAATGTCTGTTGAATGAATGAATGCATGAATAATCAACGGAGCCCTGGTGAGGTTGGGGGATAGTGAGAAGACACCTGAGGCTTGGGTGTACATGTTTAAAAATGTGCACTTTGTAGAGGAGAAATACGTATACCTGAGGAAAGGAGTGGTGGCCGAACCCTAGAACATTCAAGCTCTGGAACAACCTTTAAAATCTCAGAAATGGCAGGGGAGGCACTCTTCTAGAGTGCTGGCCAATATCCAGAACTATTTGTGTTGGGCTTTGCAGGGTGCTGGGGTGGAGATTGTGACTCCAGTCCCTTCCATAGCCATGACGGACGGGATCCTAGGGAAGGCAGCCACAATGGAGATCCCCATCCATGGGAACGGTGAAGCTGGTCAACTTCCTGAAGATGATGGGTTGGAGCAGGTGCTTCTGTTTGATTGTTCTAATTGCTTCTATTTAGGAATCCCAATTTATAAATCTTGGGCTCTCACCCCTATTAGCCTTTCTTTAATTTATCTCACTGCATTCTTTTTACAAATCTTTATTCTGATTCTGTGCAGACTTCCCTGTGTATTCTCTCTGTGATGCTTCAATCCAAGTTTGTTTCCATCTCCAAAATGCTTCAGCTGTCCCTATGTTCCTGAAGCCCTCCCCTCTTTTCTGGCCTGTAGGACCTCCAGCAGGTGATGGTGTCAGGACCCAACCTCAATGAAACCAGTATTGTGTCTGGTGGCTATGGGGGCTCTGGTGATGGACTCATCCCTACAGGTATGAATGATCAGAGACAGGGAGCTTGAGTGGAGAGGAGGACAGGAATGGTTTTGAGGAGCAAAGGATATGTCTAGGAAAGCTTGAATTATATCTGGATGACTTGGGAACTTCTGCTCATATAAACCCCATGGACTCTCCTCAGTCCAAGGCCCAGGGTTGTCCATCTGCTTCCCACCTGCCATTTAGCCCATGAGATGGCTCATTTGTCCTTTCACTGGCACCACCACCTGAGCCAAGTTAAGACCTCTTCTTTGCAGGAGTTCCTTTGCTCTGGAGCTTGAGGCTGATTTGGAACTTTGTGAGGCTTCTCAGAGTTTTACTTTAGACTCTAAAGCTTAGAGGAACAAACAGCTCTGAATCTCACACTGACTAGGATTCCACATGGAAATGTCAACCAGTTTTCCTCTTAACGCAATCCACTATCCTTGACTCCCACCCCCACTCTTAGCATATTTTCTTCTGTTTCCTCTGCCCTTGTACACCAGCAACTTCTCTCCCTGCTAACCACGTCCCCCTCCCCAAAGGAGACCAGATGTATATTGGAATTTGGTTCTCAGGGCACAAGGTCTGAGTTCCTTCTAGTTAGCAGGAGAATCCAATTGTCTCTAGCTTCTCCTCCTTCAGGAAAGTCATTTTCATGTACTGGGAGGGAGGTATGAGTGGAGCCACAGAGGTGTCTGCTGATATCTGAGAGAGGCTGGTGTCAGAGAACTTGGTCCTTTAGGGTCTGGCCGCCATCCATCTCACAGCACTACTCCTGCTGGCTCTGGAGATGAGGTGGCTCGGGGCATTGCTGGAGAGAAGTTTGACATCGTCAAAAAATGGGGCATCAACACATATAAGGTAGGATTCAAGTACTTCTTCCTTCCCCCAAACTCCGCCTGGGTACCTCCTTTTCCCCAGATCCTAATATCCCATCTATGGCTGAGACTAGGAACTTGGGGGTGCTAGAGTAGGTACCTGTTGCAGGGAGGGCAGGATGCTATGGTCTCTGACCTATTCCCCTACTTCCCAATCAGTGCACAAAGCAGCTGTTGTCAGAGCGATTTGGCCGAGGCTCCCGGACTGTGGACCTGGAGCTAGAGTTGCAGATTGAGTTGCTGCGTGAGACCAAGCGCAAGTATGAGAGTGTCCTGCAGCTTGGCCGGGCACTGACAGCTCACCTCTACAGCCTGCTGCAAACCCAGCATGCACTGGGTGACGCCTTTGCTGACCTCAGCCAGAAGTCCCCAGAACTTCAGGTGCCTCGGCCAGACCAAAGAGGGTGGGGGGACTGGGCCCAGGCCCTCCCAGGCAGTCACTCCTCAGCCTCCCTCCCTCCCTCCTGCAGCCCACAGGGAGAACCCCTCCAGGGTGGGCCCAGCCCTGCCCCCAGCAGCACTCACCTGTGGAGGCAGCCTAAGGGTTTGTACAGAGGTCCAGATGTTGGGGGTGGGGGAGGGGGCACACTAGGTGCCTCACAAGCAACTATTCTCTGCATTGGCAAGAATGCCTTCAGTGCTGGCTTAATAAAGAGCCCCTCCCCTGCCTGATACACTAGCTCTCCCTGTTCCAGTCTTCTAAACTTATCTGAGGACCCCAACTCCGCACATTCCTACCCCAAGAATCCCCAGGGTGGCCCCACCACCTTTCTGGCTAAGAGAGCCTTGCTGGAAGCAGTCTTTGGTTGTTCCAGTTTCAATGTCTCTTTCCTCCCTGGGGAGTAGGGGAACCCAGTCAGGTAGGGACAGATACTCAAGGAATGTCCTTCCCTCTGCCCTCAGGAGGAATTTGGCTACAACGCAGAGACACAGAAGCTGCTGTGCAAGAATGGGGAGACGCTGCTAGGGGCTGTGAACTTCTTTGTTTCTAGCATCAACACATTGGTCACCAAAACCATGGAAGACACACTCATGACTGTCAAACAGTATGAGGCTGCCAGGTGTGGGCACTGGCGGGGCCTGGGTTTGGGCGAGTTGGCTGGCATGTGTGGAAGTTTGGGCATTAGGGGCATAAGAATTCAGGAAGGAAAGGACCGAGGGCAAAGAGGTAGAGACCAGCCTGTATCACCCCCTCCCCAGGCTGGAATATGATGCCTACCGAACAGACTTAGAAGAGCTAAGCCTAGGTCCTCGGGATGCAGGGACACGTGGTCGACTCGAGAGTGCCCAGGCCACTTTCCAGGCCCATCGGGACAAGTATGAGAAGCTGCGGGGAGATGTGGCCATCAAACTCAAGTTTCTGGAAGAAAACAAGGTGCCAACCCCACCCCCTTGACCCTAGCCTGCCTTCCCGTCTGAGACACTAGCGTTCCCCTCAGACCCTCCCCCATTGTTGGGTGGGGAAATGCAGCCTGGCTAGAGAGAGTGGGGTGTTCCCCCAACCCCCTCAACCCCTGGGCCTTTCCAGGTCTACTCTCCACCTCTGGCCCTTTCCTGTTGGTGGATTTGGCTGCTGGTCCCTGGAACATAACTGGGAAAAATTACCCCCTGATCTGGAGTACCAGAACCCTAGGCCCAGCAAATCAAGTCAGGTTTCTTCCATCAGATTGGCCCTTCTCCTTTGACTCCCTGAGTGGAGTTCAGCCCCCATCCCAAAAGCACAATCAGAGCAGAGTCCACGTGCCCGTGGTCCATGCATGGGCTCAGGCTCATAGACCCTCAAGAAGGGTCCAGTCTTAGCTGCCTGAGTCCAGTCTTAGCTGACCCTGCTGGACCCCCAGATCAAGGTGATGCACAAGCAGCTGCTGCTCTTCCACAATGCTGTGTCCGCCTACTTTGCTGGGAACCAGAAACAACTGGAGCAGACCCTGCAGCAGTTCAACATCAAGCTGCGGCCTCCAGGAGCTGAGAAGCCCTCCTGGCTAGAGGAGCAGTGAGCCGCTCCCAGCCCAACTTGGCTATCAAGAAGGACATTGGAAGGGGCAGCCCCAGGGTGGGGGAGATTGGACATGGGACATCCCTTGCCACTTGCCCTTTGGCTTGGGCTCCCTTTCCCTGGCTGGGGCCTGACACCCAGTTCTGCCCACACTGCAGTGGAGGGAAGAGGGCCTGCAGACCCAGAAGCTGCTGCCCTGTCCCTTATCTTCCTGGCCACTGGACTTCATTCCCAGATCTTTTCTTTCCACTCCACAGCCAAAGGCTATGACAAAATCACTCCCTGGCCAATGGCATAACTCCTCAGGCTTATGCCCAGCTTCTGGGGTATGCCCCCTGACCAATGGCAGAGCCTCAAATGGCCCTGTCAGCCAATGGCAGCTCTTGTTGGGCTCCCCTGGGCCAATGATGTTGCCTCCAATACCCTTTGTCTCTCCTCTATGCGTGCCCATTGCAAAGAAGGGGACTGGGACCAAACGGGTGGGGATAATGGGGAACTCCATTTCTGGCCTTGCATCTGAATGGGCTCCCTTCAGCCACTTACCCATCCACCCAGTTTAATTGTGCTTAGAGCCCAGGAAGATCGGGATCTAGCACT